CTCCTAAGCTTAGGGGACCCCAGGGGGCCCCCCTCCAGGGGGCCCACCCCTGAAGGTGGTGTTATAGGGGGCCCCCTGCCTATAGGGGGCCCCCTAGGGGGCCCCCTATAGATAGGAAGGCCTCCTATGTATAGAGGGGCCCCTTATAGCTGGTTTATGTTGTTGATTTGTCTGCTTCCTTTTTTTGTTTAATATGGTGATGAAGTGACGAAAGAAATGCATAAACCCTAAACCCTAAACCCTAACTTAGAGCCCTTCTAAGAGGTACCCATAAACCCTAAACCCTAACTTTTCAAACCCTAACTCGCACCTGTAAAACCCTAAACCCTAAACACCCTTCAGCTTTGCTAAACGCTCGCCCCAAACCCTAAACCCTAAACCCTAACTTCTAACCTGCAAAGTTTAAACCCTAAACCCTCAATCTTACAGTTATAAGCCTAAACCCTCAGCTTATAAACCCTAAACCCCCACTGGACCGTAGCCTCACCAGTGGTGTCATCTAAACCCTAAACCCTAAACCCTAAACAAGTGTAGCTTCCTTTGAGGTTGGTAGGGATTATTATGCTTAACTGCAGTAAGGTACAGTCAAGCGGGTAGAGTTTAGGGTTTAGGGTTTAGGGTTTAGGGTTTAGGGTTTGCTTTGTGGCAGCGCTCTCCGCGGTAGGTTCGAGTGTATAGGGAGGTAAATATATTTTATTGTTTGTTAATTCTTCAATTTTGTTTATATTTAAACATAATTTAAACACAAGAAAAGCTTAAAAATATATTTTAATTCTTCTCTCTTACTTTGTCTGTGTGCATACACCGCAGCAACAGGCGGCTCTCGAGTAGAAGGCGGCTGTGAGGCAGTATTGAGAGAGGGGGTTATAATAAAGAATATTTGTTGAGTATAATTGAATTAATAGTATTAAAATAGTTATTTTAGTTTATTAATTATTTAATTGCTTTAAAATAAACGTAGATATACCCCTTTTTACCTGCCTATACACCCCAGCTGCAGCAGAGCCCTCAACACCGCGGCTAGCTATGCTTTACCTTCTTTTCTTTGTTTTGTTTGCCTTGCATCTCTAAACAATAATTGCATTTCTTTACTTCCCTCTCATCTCCTTTCTACCCTCTCCAGCAGACTCCCCCTACTACTATAGATCCTGCAGGAGCAACCCAGCAGCAGCAGCAGCAGCAGCAGCAGCGGCAGCAGCAGCAGCAGCAGCAGCGGCGAGGATCGTTCCTTCTTCCCTTAACTCCAGGATAATAAACGCCGACTGAATACTCATAACTACTTGCTGCAGCAGCTGAGGTGTACGTACACCGCAGCCACAAGCCCCTAAACCCTTTTCTTTGCTTCTTTCTACTCTGTAACAAAACAGAAACCCTGAGACCTCCTTCTTTATCCTCCACTGATCTTGTGCTGCTAGTCTTGCTGCTGCTGCTGTTGCTGTTGCTGCTCTTGCAGCTGCTGTTGCTGTTGCTGTTGCTGCTGCTGCTGCTGTTGTTGCTGCTGCTGTGGTCGCCTTTTGCTGCCTCTTCTTTCCTCAGCTTACCGAGTCCTGGCCTCTGCCATTATCTGCTGCTGTTGCTGCTGCTGCTGTTGCTGCTGCTGCTGCAGTAGCAGCTGGTGTTTGTTTTTAGGTAGTAAAATCAACTTGCAGCAGCAGCAGCAGCAGCAGGTTCGGTGGTGTATGGCTGCAAACGAATAAAGTCAAACAAAACAATAAAATTAAAAACAATAATTGTTTATCTCAGAGTTTTCTGAGACGCATTCAGAGGACCGGAGCAGCAGCAGCAGCCAGCAGCAGCTGCAGCAGCAGCAACAACAGCAGCAGCAGTAACTGCAGCAACAATAATATTAGACGTCTGTGTAGCAGAACGGAGATCCTCAGTAGCAGCAACCTCAGCAACAGCAGCAGCAGCATCACCAGCAACCTCAGCAACAGCAGCAGCAGCAGCAGCAGCACCCTCAGCAGCAGCAACAGCAGCACCTTCAGCAGCAGCAGCAGCAGCAGCAGTAGGCTTGATGTTGTTTGCTGCGGTGCTTGCGAAGCCATAGCCGACCTCCTCCGTCCCCCAGGTGCGTGATGAGTTTCAATGCACTTTGCTGCTGCCTCTATCCCTCACTTATTTGCTGCTGCTGCTGCTGCTGATGCAGTTGGAGGTGATGCTGCTGCGGTTGCTGCTGCTGTTGCTGCTGTTGCTGCTGCTGCTGCTGTTGCTCGTGCTGCTGCTGCTGGGAGTGTATTTCAAGCTGCTGCTGTCTCGTGTGAATTGTCTCCTTTCAATTGTACAGGGAGGAGGCAGAGACACCGCAAGGACCTTCTGCTGCTGCTGCTGCTGTTGCTGCTGCTGCTGCTGCTGCAAAATGAAGCGAGGCGTGCAGCTGCAGCGGGGACGGGGCTGCTGTGGTTGTCTGCTGCAGCAGCTGTGGTTTAGAGGGCAGTCGCTGCTGCTGCTGCTGCTGCTGCTTCTGCTGCTGCTCTCTGTGTCTCTCAGTCCGTTCCCTGGGGCTGTCGCCCTGCGCCTTCTCCTCCACAGCAGCAGCAGCAGCAGCAGCAGCAGCAGCAGCAGCAGCAGCAGCAAGAGCGGGAGCCTCAAAGAAGGCCACGGGGAGCCGCACGAAGAATCTGCTGCTGCTGGAGGTGAGAGCGAGACATTATAACGCATTTATTTATTTATCTATTTGTTTGTCTCTTAACCTTTTCTTCTGTCTCTTCTTCTGTCTCTGTTTGTTACTTTGTCTGTCTCTTAACCTTTTCTGCTGTCTCTGTCTCCTTCTGTCTTTGTCGTTTTATATTTATTTTTCTGTCTCCTCCTGTCTTTGTTTGTTTTGTTTATTTTTCTGTTTGTTTTTGTGTCTCCTTCTGTCTCTTCTCTCTCTCTATCTCTTTATATATCTCTCTTATTTATTTATTTATTTATTTATTTATGCAGATTAAACACGCAAAGACAGTCTAGGGTTTAGGGTTTACGGTTTACGGTTTACGGTTTACGATATGTGATTTAAGGTTTAAGGTTTAGGGTTTAGGGTTTTTTAAGGATTTAGGATTTAGGGTTTAGGGTTTAGGGTTTAGGGTTTAGGGTTTAGGTGTTGTGCAGACGAAGAGGGGAGGAAAGGAGAAGTGGTTTATTCCTTTTATTATTCTTCTCGCGTTTGTCTTGGGCGGTATATTGACAGCTCTCGTTATACACTGCGCAAATATACGGTAAACCCTAAACCCTAAACCCTAAACCCTAAACCCTAAACCCTTGAGGCTAGCTCAACCCATTGCCGCCACAAAACCCTCCTGCAACGCTTTTTCTGCAGATAGGGTTTCGCTGGAGGGATCGCTAAATAGAGACTAGGGTTTAGGGTTTAGGGTTTAGGGTTTTAGGGTTTTAGGGTTTAGGGTTTAGGGTTTAGGGTTTGTGTTTGCCTATAGGCCGACTTCTGGTGCCGGAGAATTCTTATTAATGATTTTCTTCTCTTTGCATCAATGCACAAATATTTTATTATAATAAAATAAATTATATTATAAACATTATATAATTTATAATTTTATTATATAATTATATATGATTATATATAATTATATATAATATAATTATATTATTATATTATATATAATTATATTATATAAACTTCCGCGTTATTATGGTGTATGTTGTGTGTTATTATTATATTATATAAAATAAATTATATTATATTATAAAATATATTAATATTTAATATATTTAATATACTTTTTATAATAATATAATATAATTTATTATATATAATATAAAAAGCCGGTGCCTATATTATGCAGGCGTATAATATATTATAAAATAATAAAATATATTATATTATATAACAAAGCATACAGTATTTTATTGTATATTCTGTTGTATTAATATAATATAATGAAGCACAATATATAATATATTAAAATAATATAATATATTAAAACAATATTATATTAAAATAATATAATAAAGTGTATTATATTATATAGAGAGGTAAACAATTATATGATATATTATACTCAAACTGTATATAATATAATACGCTTTATTATATTAAAACAATATAATATATTAAAACATTATAATATAATATATTATGTTAAAATATTATATTATATTAGAGCATTATAATATATTATATTAAAACGTAATGATATAATAAACAATTTTATATAATAAACATTTTAATATATTATATGAATATATTATAATGGATATAATATAATATTATAATATAATAAACAATTTAATATAATATATTATATTACAATATGATAATATAATAAACATTTTAATATATTATATTATAATATTTCTTCTCTTACACCTGCAGCATTCATTTGTTGCTGCGACTTTGTTTATCTTTACTTTGCTTTTTTAATGATAATTTGTATGCAGTAAGCAGACCAGCATTTAAAAGAAAAAATAAATATATTAATATATTTATTTAAAGATAAACAAACAAATAAATAAACAAACAAATACACAAAAACAACAACACAGCGCTGCTGCATGCATGCAGCCGATAAAAAAACATCTTGGGGCTTTGGCTGTTAGAGCAGCAGAACTACCTTCAACTCTTCTTTTATTTAAATATATATTTAAATATATATTTATATATTTATATATAAATATATTTATAAATATATTAAATTACTTTATTCCTATCTTATTTCCTTCTTTCTTTCTCCATTTATATGCCTTGCTTCGACCGTTTGATTGAGCTGCGCGTACACCTGAGTTGCAGCAGTTAATGCGAGTAATGAATTAAATATATTTTTCTTTTTTATTTCCTTTTTAAAACATTTATTCAATATCTCGGGTCTACAACAACAGCAGCAGCAATGAAGACTTCTATAGTCTACCACTGACCCGCTAGGGCTTAGTTTATTCAGGTGTATGTTGAGCTGCATATACACCAGGGAGATGGGCTGCTGCTTTATCTGCAGCAATGAAGCATCAACAGCAAATCTAATTCAAAGGCGATGCAACACGTAGCGCTTTGCTGCTGAACCCTCAAGAGAATGGCGGGGCACAAAGAAGAGGAAGCAGCAGGAGCAGCAGCAACTGCAGCAACAGAAGCAGCAGCAGCAACTGCAGCAACAGCAGCAGGAGCAGCAGCAGACTCAAGTGACGGAGTAGAGGACCACCCTCTATTTATGACGCGCGTCCCCACCTCAAAGGAGTTTCAGAAAAACACTCTTCTGTCTGCTTTAGCTGCACTTATTGATGAAGATGATCAGCAGCAGCAGCAGCAGCAAAGAGGCAGGGGACCCCACAGGCGACAGAGACTGAAACCTAGGTCTTGTCCTTGGGGGCTGAAGCCTCCGAAGGCCCCAGGCACAACTCCTGCTGCTGCTGCTGCTGCTGCTGGAGACGCAGCAACAAGGGAGGAGGTGAAGCCTGCAGGGGATCTGCAGCAGCAGGAGGAAGCAATGGAGTGCGAGGCAGCGGAAACTGCAGCAGCAGAAGAAACAGCAGCAGCAGCAGAAGCAGCAGAAGCAGAAGCAGAAGAAGCAGCAGAAGCAGCAGACCCCAAAGGGCCGTCAATGGGGGAGCTGCAGATCTGCATGCGTTTGCTTTCTATGAAACAAAACTTAGGAGGATGAAGAGAGCAGCAAACTAAACCCCAGCAGCAGCAACAAATGCGACGCCTAGTGCAGCAGCAGCACCTGCTGCAGCACTTGCTGCATGCAGCTATAGATGTCTCTCTCTCCTTTTTTTCTGTCTTCTTCTGCAGCCCCAAGCAAAAAAAAAATTTTGCTTTGTTCGGTGCTGCAGGCCGGTGTTGAGTTCTTTTGTTTTTTTACTTTTATTTCCTTCACATCTTCACTTTTCTCCTTCTGCCTTAAACAGAGAAGATATGGGGCTGCAGCAGCTGCAGCAGCAGCAGCAGCAGCAACTGCAGCAGCGGCAGCAGCAGCAACTGCAGCGGCAGCAGCAGCACCTGCAGCAGCAGCAGAAGCAGCAGCAGCAGGAGGGGTCCACCTGAGAAGCGCCTCGCTTCTGTGTCTGGTGTTGTGGGCACAACTACGCATTTCCGTCAGCATCCGAGTTCACTGGCTAGTTAGCTAGCTAGCTAGCTAGCTAACTATCTGGCTGGCTAGGCAGTCCTCACAGCTGGCTAGCTGGCTAGCTAGCTAGTACTAAGCTAGCTAGCTAGCTAGCTATCTAGCCAGGCCGTCCTTACAGCTAGCTGGCTATCTAGCTATCTAGCTAGGTAGTCCTTACAGCTAGCTAGCTAGCTAGCTAGCTAGCTAGCTGTGAGTCGTGCAGTTAACTGTGTTGCGTCAAGTGATGGCGATATCTTTTTTTAGTTTGTTACGTTCAGGTGTATAGGCACCTGCTTGTGTTTAAATAGGAAGGCCTGCGAAGCCTTCTGTCTAAAGCAAACAAAAAAGAAATGCAGACAAGCAAACGCAGCAATATAAATAGATGAATTGTATTTAATAGAACATCATAAGACGTAAATAAACAAACAGAGAAATAATTAAATATATAAATAAATAATTAAAAGCAAACGCCTGCTGACTTTCCTACTGCAGATAAATGCTTGAGCCCTCAACAATAACATTTGGGGGGTTATTGCGGGTCCTAGGAACCGGTGCCTCTCGCTGCTGCTGTTGCTGCTGTTGCTGCTGCTGCAGCTGTTGCTGCTGTTGCTGCTGTTGCTGCTGCTGGTGCTGCTGTAGCAGCAAGGCTTTAGGGTCTAGGGTTTAGGGTTTGAGGTTATATAGCAGTTGAAGGCGCGAGGGTTTACTGCTGATGAGTGAGGATAGAGTACAGGGGTTTCTCAACCGTGCAGCTGCTTCACTTGCTGCTGCTGCAGCATTGATCCTTGCTGCTGCTGCCGGTGCAGCAGGAAGCAGCAACAGGCCCCGTTGGGGGAAACTTGTGGAAGTGCATATAAGGTAGATACACCTCAGCTTCATCTGCAGCAAATTGATTGAGAATTTCACGCGAGAAAGGATCGAAAGAAGCAAAAGGCTCTTCATGAGTTGCTGCAGGAAGAGGAGGAGCTGCTGTCTGCTGCTGCCCTGCTGCTGGGAAGAAGCAAAGGCCTCTCAGAAACGCGCGGTAATCCGTACTGCCCTCGCAACGAGGAGGGGCCCCAGCAAAAGGCTGCTGCTGATATGATGGGTGCTCCTTGGCTGCGGATCTTGCTGCTGCTGCTGCTGCTTTTGCTGCTGCTTTTGCTGCTTCGGCCTCTGCTCGCTGCCTCTCTACTTCCTCCTTTCCGAAGTAGAGTTCATCAAGGAAGCGGTTTAAGAAATCAAAGACAGGATTTCCAGTAAGGCTCGTAGGCCCGTCTGGTACGGGTTCATATTCTTTTAAAATTATTTCTGAGGGGTCTACAGGAGGTTGAGGAGAGGCAGAGGCCGCAGGGGCGTTCGTATCTTCCCCTGTTTGCACAGCTTTCTCCTCTGAGGAATTCTGAGCGCTCATATTCAAATCCTAGAGCTGGTTCTTGGGGAGCTGTTGTTGCTGCTGCTGCTGCTGCTGTCGCTGCTGCTGCCTTGGATGGACATGCATACACACCGACAGGCTCGTTAGAGGGGAAAGGGTGCTGCTTTCTCTAGGTCGAAGTGATGGTTGCACTGCGTATAATGAAAAAGAAGAAGATAAAGGAGAAAGAGAGAAGAAAAACAGAGTTGATAGAGTGGGGAGGGAAGCCGACAGCTGCAAGTTGAACAGGATATATCGATCGACAGAGAAGACGCGAGGACGACGAGGAGAGAAGGATGAAGGGGAAGTGCAAGAAAAGGAAATAATAAATAAGAATATAAAAGGAAAAGAAAGGAATTTATATCATCCTTCTCTCTATTCGCAACCCTTTCAGTTCCCAGTGGTCTCGCTAGTCTAAAAGGCGCTCATCGATATTCTTATGCCATGCATGCCTTCTGAGAGGGTGTATGAAGGAAGGAATTGCAAGTATTTTCTTTCTTTTTTTCTGTTTTCTAAGTTTAAAATCATATTAATATTTTAGAAAGACATTCTTTTCTCACTGAAGATATTTAAAAAGGGGGATTCACCACTGCTTCGTCTTCAGATCCGAAGGACGGCGACAGCGAGCCCAGCAGACGTCAGAGAGGCTGGCGTTTCTTCTCAGCGTTGGTTGCCTATGAAAATGAATAAAAATATATAAATATAAATAAAGATGCTTTTTCTGTATTAAATAAAGTTTTGTTTTCCCTTGCTCGATTCACTGACACCACAAACGCCCACCACCCTTCTGCACTTTGCAGGTTTCTGTCGGCAGCACCTCCGCTCAGCAGGCATTGATTTCTTCTTCTTCGCTGAAGCAACTTAACAGAAGAACTTTTTTAGTCATGGGTTGCATTAACTCCAAAGGACAGAAGAAAAGGAAGGGAGGAAAGGTTCAGAAGGCAGCAGCAGCCTTTGAGAAAGGCACAGCGGGAGAGGCGACCGAAAGAGCAAAGCAGGCAGCAGCAGAGAGAAAAGCAAGAGAAAAACAAATAGAAGGGCTGAAGACAAAATCTATGAAAGCTAAGAGAAAGAAGGCAGCCGAAGAAATAAATGAATGCTTTAAAGACAAACCCCCAACAGGAGGCGCTGCTGTGCCTCCAGGGTTCCGCCAATGAAAAAGAAATCGAAAAGTTGAATGTACAGAACAGATAAACCTTTTAGTTGTAGTCTTAGCTGCAACAGTGTTTGGACTGCAGAAAGTAGCTCTTTAGAGAGGCTCAGCCCAGAAGATCCTCTGTTGAGTCTTTCTCCATTGCTGATCTTCATCATTTTGCTGCAAGTGCAGCTCTCGCATGCACAATGAACCTGCAGGTTTGTACAGAAATCCAGTGAAGCTGCAACTGCTGCGCATACTGAGCGGCAATTCTGCTGCTTTCTTCGTGCGGGTACGGCAGTTGTTGGGTATTGGAACGCTTATAAACTGCGAATTGGAATTTTTTGAACTTTGAAAAAAATAGTCCATTGTCTTATGAAAGAAGAAGGAGAGGTAAGGGAGTTGGTAGTGTGTGACCTCTCTGCGCTTACATATTCAAATAATTATGGGTACTGACACCACATAGAAAGAGGAATTTCAGAATATTAATAAAATAGGCATTTGGAATAGCGATGAGATACAGAACTTCTGTAAATAGTTTATTTAGTGAACAACATGAACCACGACAAAACCTGCGACGCATTTCAGAAAAGGTGCCTGTACACCGGATGAGGCGAACGCCCACGCGGCTTTCCTCCATGACTTTCTCTCGTCCAACCCCATTATTTTGCGCTTGAACGCCACTTGATGCATTTGAATTGAAATTGTTGGTGAGCAAAGCTCGCAGCTCTCCTTCATTTCGCGTCTTCTTCCATGGAAACCTCAACTCGGCCCCCAGCGCGATTTCGGCCTCCCTGGTTGAAACGGGAGGCTGAAAAGAGCGACTCAGCAGTTTCTTTCCCCGTTCCCAGCACTTCTTCGGGTTTAAAACGAATACCGACAGATACAGCTCCTCAAGAGAGCAATAAAATAATTCCACCAGCTGAATGTTCAGAATCTGCTTCCTGCACAGAGGAAGCTGCTGAACAGCCTCTCAAACGGCCACTCGAAACTTCATTAGTCTTCAATCCGCCACAGCTGCTGCACCAACAGCAGTGCCCAGCTCCACAGAAAAGACCCTGCTGTGCGCCGCTGCTGCCAACGCCTTCTCAGCAGCCTCAGGCAGCTTTCTCTGCGTACAAGGTGATGTACTGCAAACGATCGCTCAAGAAGCACAAAACGTACTTGTAAGAAACACTAAAAGGGCTTCTCCACACGGGCCAGCGATATTTGCATTTCGCGTAATGCACAGCGACGGTATTTTGCTACCCAAGGCCTACCACTCCGTCATTTTAAGCGAATGGGTGGGTTTATGCATATATAAGCATATATATATATATATATTTATTACATGTTTCACATATATATGCATAATGCGTTACGTTTGAAAAATGAAGGAACAGCATAAGCGAACAAGCGCAGTTCAACACCTAATAATTGCTCTTAAACGAACACTTTCTTCCTAGGGAGCAACGGTGACAAAGGCGCATTTGCGTGTTGCAGGGAAGCCTCCATACAAGGATAGCGACACTTTCAGTGGGTATTGTGTAAATTGAACTTATGCTTTTTATTGCTTTATCATTTCTCTTGCCGTTCTTCTGCAGCTATTGGGGGGTTCGAAGGAGAGATCGGCCAGGCGATACCCCAGGCGGACTTCATCAGCGGCCGCTGCTTCACAAACAACGCAAGCGTTGATCTTGTTGCTGCTGCTCCCGTTCAGCTGCTGCTGCAGCCTCCTGCTGCACTGCGCCGGCAGCAGCCTGCTCCTCGCAAGGCCGCTGCATGCGCCAAAGAGGCTGAAGATAGCGACGGTACACGAGAAAAGGATTTGTTCCTTGAAGAGGCTCTACAGGAAGACAAAGGGGCATCACTAACTCCTGCTGCAGCTGCTGCTGCTGCTCCTGATGGAGCATCTGCAGCAGCAACAGCAGGAGGAAGGCCTTTACCTCTGCTAGGCGACTACCTGAGCGTACACCTCAGGCCGCATCAGCGGGAGGGTTTAGAGTGGATGTACAGCCGAGTGTCTGAGGGAGGCGGCTGCATATTAGCGGACTCGATGGGCCTGGGGAAGACTCTTCAAGCCCTGGCTCTTCTTTGTTCGTTGTTGGGGCTGCATGCATCGCAGCAGCAGAACTCAGCAGCTTTTAAAGCCCTCATCGTCTGCCCGACAAGCTTGAAGGGATCCTGGAAGAAAGGCAAGTCTCGTGCATGCATTTTCGTTTTTATTGCTTTGTTTGTTTGGTGCATGTGGAGTTGTTGCTGCAAGTAATATCAAATGCATTTAAATTAACGATATAGAAAGGAAAAGATGCAATAAAAAGTAAATGATAAATAATAAACAAAGTGAAGGAACAGAATAATAAATGAAGATGCAGAATTCAAGAAATGGCTTGGGAATCGTATCGTTCCTCTCGTCTCCTGCGGAGACACCCGACAGGTGTCGGACTCCGTGCAGGCGTTTGTTTGTTCAAAAAGAAATCAAGTTCTAATCTCTTCGTATGAAGATATTCGGTGAGAGATGCCGCTGTGCGCCTCCCCCTTCTCTGTGTTTCTGCTCCATTTGCTTACTTACTTACTTCCATATGCATGCATATGCATGCATAATTATGCGTGCATGTGTGCTCTTCTCGTTCAAATGATGCATGCATGTGTGTTTGTGCCGTTTGCATGCATGTATGCATGCATGGATGGATGCATATCCATGTATGTACAGTCTTACCGCTACCTTGCTCACTGCATGCACATATATATTTGCGTCTACATTTTTGTTTGTTTGTTGTTAATGGGTTGAGGGCTTCAGGCGCGTTGCAGTACCTTGTAGTGTTGATCTGTTAGTGTGCGATGAAGGCCACCGCCTTCGTTCTCTTCGTTCTCAGACTTCTGTTCGTTTGCAATCAATTAACAGCAAACGAAAGCTGCTGCTTTCAGGTTGGTTGTCTCTCTCTAATAAATAAAGAGAAGCTCTCTTTTTAAAACCATTAACACAAATTGCTTTCAATAATGAATATCTTCTGTCCTTCAGGCACTCCCCTGCAGAATAACTTGGTGAGGAGAACGAACCTTCATTTACGTATAAGAGAAATGAAGCGCAGCACTAAAGAAAATTGTCTTCGTCTGTACACTCGTTTGTATATACACCTCTACAAACACAGGAAGAACTCTACAGCTGCTGCCACTTTGTCTGCCCTGGGGTACTACCTAATGAAAAAACTTTTAAAAAGGTTTTTCTCGAGCCTATTCTTCGTGGATGTCGGCCGGATGCGACTGAGAGCGAAATGAATATCGGTATGTCTCTGTTGTTTGAAATGCAATAAATATACTTTTATACCTCACTAACACCTCCCTTATTATTAATGATATATCTGCTGCAGCCAGAGAAAGAGAGACAGAACTAATGAATCAAATGGTAGGCCCGCGTGTATGTGCATCTACATTAATACTCAAAGTGCTTCAGAAGATATGCATGCACATAGGCATGTCTTCTGTGCA